GGGACTCTACCAGCCCCAGGGGTCCCCCCAAGTCTGACTCAAGAGCACACAGGGCAGTCAGTGGAATGAGCCCAGGGCAGAAGAGGCAAATCAAAACTCAAATCTCAGCTCTGCCACCTGCCGGCTGGGTGACCTTAAAAAGCTATCTCACCTTCCTGCCTCCAGGGTGATTTTGAGGCTCACGTAGGGGCAGAAGCCCTCGATTTTCAAAGGCCCTTGCAGTTTAGGAAGGTTTTCCTTCCCATCCTCTTGGCAAAGACCCCAGCAGGACCCCAGGTCAGAGCCCCGGAAAGGCACAGCGGACAGCTCTCCCACCAGTCCTGCCCAAGCCCAGGCTCCAGAAGGAAAGCACACCCACCTTGGGCATCAGCATAGATCTGGAGGACATCAACATCTGGGTGGTTGGTGATGCCCACAGCCAGCACCAGAACGAGGGGAGAGCTCTGGGCCCCACACTGGCGTCCCTCTGCCCTGGAAGGGTGGGGGGATATGCAGATCCTTTTGCTCAGCAGATACCTAGGGGTGCCCCCAGGGGTCCACAGCCCAGCCCCCAGAACTCCAGGGCAGGCCTGCCAGGCTGGAAGCACTCAGAGCACGGAACGGCATGTGCTGAGGGTGAAGTGCTCAAGTTAGGGGACCTGACTTCTAGGAGAGGCTAGGAGACAGCGCAAGCGAAGTGCCAACGCTGAGGCCCACCTGGAGAAGGGGGACAGCAAGTCCTGGGAGGCTGAGGGCTGCGTGTGCAAAGCTAGAGCAGGAGGAGGCAGGCGGGAGGCCAGGACCTGACCTGGCCTTTGGGGGGCGGGCCCACTCACCCCCACAGCAAGCCTGAAGCAGGAAGATCTTGGGGCAGCCCCACAGGGCCCTGCAGCGGCTCAGCTCCTGCACCAGCACTTCTGGCTGGACCTCCTGCCCGTCCACCCCCAGCGGCTGCCCCTGTGGCCCCCATGGGTCATAAGGGCCACAAGGGCACAGCTCACGGGGACCCTGTGGGTGTCTAGGCACTCTCAAAACTGGGCCATCTCCTCCTGGAAAGCCTGGGGTGGGGACGAGATTGAGGCCTGAGCCCGGGTCTTGGCCTCCCCAGTGCCTGGTGGTCCTCCAGGAAGGCTTGTCCAGGCCCTGCCCACCCTCCTTCCCACCTCCTGCCAGCTTCAGGCCCACAGAGGAAGTCCTTTTTCTAACCCCCCCTACCGCAAAGCTGGCATGGCCTAACTGGAGGTGACGTGTGGTCCAGCCTCTTGCAGCTGGGCCTTTGGCCAGGGCAGGGAAAACGCTCCGAAAAGTGAAGAGGCGTGAGGGGAGGGCAATGAGCTGACATGTGTCTGGGAAGGGAGCTGAGACCCTCCCAGGAAAAGCTGGAGGGTCCAGCTGGGGCCTGGAGCAGAGGAGTGGAGAAACAGCGGGGAGGAGGCTGCAGGAGCCCGGGAGGTGAGCTCCGCATGCATGCAGCAGAAAGGACAGAAGCCAGATGGGGTGAGAAGCCCTGGAGAGTCGCTCGGGTCCTGGGGGGGGGGGGGGGGGGGTTGGCCTTCCCTCAGAGCACCACCAGAGCTCTGGCCTTCACCTCACCTGGGCTGTAGGGTCTGTCCTTAGGGTGGTCTTGAAGCTCAGGGCCTGGCACAGGCCCCCCAGCACCTTCACATCGTGCTGGGCCCCAGGCCGGCCCTTCGATCACAGACAAGAGGAGAGCGGCTCTGGTCCTGGACAGGTCATACTCAGCGCTGGGGCTGGGTTCCAGCTACGGACAAGTTAAGGAGCATTCAGAGTGGCCTGAGAACCTCCCAGCTCCTCACGTTCCCCCATCTCAGGTCTCCCTGAGCCTCTGCCCCCTCTCAACTGCTGTCACCCCACCCCGTTCCCCTCACCTGGTGCTCCCAGAGTTCCACATCCCCCAGGCACAGCGCACCCCGCAAGGAGCTCCGGAGGACTGGGCAGCAGGTGGCCTCTGACTCTTTGGCTGTCCTGTAGAAGACCTGGGGGGGGTGGAACCAGAGAACCCCTAGGGGGCGGCTCCATAGGGGCGCAGTTTGGGGAGGGAACAGGACACTGGCTTCAGGGAACAGCCTGGCTAGCTCATGGCTACTGCAGTCTCTTTGGGGTCCCCTGCCAGAATGAAGGAAACAGAAGACAGACAAAAGAAGGGGAGGGCACGAAGGAGGTGTCCTAGTTCAGGTTCAATGTCATGGGCTTCCCTGGACATGGATGTCCTTAAGTGGATAGTGGCCATGCCATTAACCACATCACTCCCCACCCAGCGATCCGTGTGTGCAGAGCTGGGGCGCCCCCTAGAGCAGGTTGGGGACTGTCTGGGAAGGTTCACAGGGTAGGTACCACCTGCAGAGGGCACCAGGCTGGGGAAAGCTGTGGAGTGGAGCAGGGGCCCACCCTTCACCTCCAGGGTCACCACTGGCCACCCAACTGCCCAGTGAGACCTTTGGGCCTCGAGCCCAGACCAGAACTGGACGGTTCGTCACTCTGGCTTCCAGGGACCTGCAGTCTGACGGGACAGTCACGGTCTGTGTGAGTGTGAAGGGGGCTGGGCAGAAGTATAGGTGCTGACTCGGGGAGCTCAAGGAAGAGCATCACTGACAGACTGGAAGGGAATGTGTGAGGCTGTCTGGGACAACAGGAGGGCAAGCCAGAGGGAGTGGCGTGGGCAAAGGCATGGAGCTGAGAAGCAGTTGGGAGTGTCTGGGGGATCTTGAGCGGGTTGTGAGGAGGGGCACGGGCGGCGTGGGAGGCAAGAGCTCGAGGCTGATACCTCATGCACAGACAATAAAGAATCATCTGTACAATGAATGGGGCGGCATGTGAGTGACTCAAATTATCAAGCAGGTTCAGGAGAGCACAGCAGAGCCAGGGGAAGTGAGTGGCACAGCCCCCCTCCCAGGGACCCCCCCACCTGGAGCCCCCACCTCCGTCAGCAGCTGCAGCAGAGACCAGTGAGGATATCAGCCACAGAGCTGGCTCAGGCCAGTGAGGAAGGCTCCGGGCTCAGGGGCAGCTAGGTGGAGAAACCGCACGTTGGCCTGGAGGGGAGGTCTTGGCCCTCCTGCCCACCCCCACCCCTGCTCTGCGACGGCCCACAACTGGTGTCCCTGCCCAGCCAACTCACCCAGCACTGAGAGCAGCAGGAAAACTCTGGGGCAGCCCCACAGGGCCCTACAGCGGCTCAGCTCCCGGACCAGCTGCTGGGGCTGCCTCAGCTGCCCACTGGGGGCCACCAAGGCCACTAGGGCACAGCCCACAGGGCCCCCAAGGGCATCCAGCTGCTCCTGGAAACCAGCCAGCTCCCCAAGGAAGCCGTAGGGCAAGAGCAAAAGCCGGGCCTGAGTCCAGGGAGGCCCCAGGGTGGGGCTAGGGGTGGGTGCTGGAATGAGGGTGGAGGTGGGAGGCAGGTGAGGACTCACCTGGACAGAGGCCTCCCTCCTCTGGCAGCTCTCAAAGCCCAGGGTCCGGAACACGCCCTCTAGGACAGTGACTGTAGAGGCTGACACCTCAGGGCTCCTGAGTGTCAGGGCCACCCTTGGACCCTGCAAGCCATACTTCCCCTGGGGAGGCAAGGCCATTCAGGCTGGGGTGGGGCTCAGCTGAGAGCCAGGAATGGGCGGGGCCAGGCAGCGCCTCCCCCTACCTTTCTTTCCAGACTCTGTAGAGCATCTGCCATCTGCAAGGCCACCTGCATGGTCCCAGCCACCAGGAAGGCCACGGGGGCCAGGTGGGGTCTTCCTCTGAGCACCGAGCTTACCCCTGGCCCCGATGCCGATGCCCCAGGTCCCAATACTTGCCCTTTCCCTGAGCTCTGTCCTATCAGCTCTGTTTATGAGCTGAGCTGGACTCAGCTCCTTCCCTGGAACCCTGGGTCTTGGGCCCCCACTGCTTCAGTCCCTGTCCTGTTCTCTGGCTCCAGCGGGCTACTTCCTGGCTGGCATTGGCACGCCCCCACCTGAGCCAGAAGCCTATGCCCAAACCTATTCTTAGCTCTTGGCCCACCTCCTATCTGATCTCATTACACAGGAGTGTCTCCTGTCTGAGCCAGCCACCAGCACCAAAATAAATCCATGCAGGGCTCTCACCAGCCCCTACTTACTCCTGCACAGCACCCATAGCACCCACATGTGCACACTGCAGCCTTGAGCACAAGGGTACGAGGAGTGGTGACAGGTGCTGTCTCACAGATAGAAACCCCCAACTGGAGTCATCTGTCCACAATGGGGCCCCAGTTGCTTCATCCAGGAAATGGGGTCCATCATAGTGAGCTCAGGATGAAGCAAGTGTTAAATGGAGGGTTGGCTGAGGAAGGGCTCTGGGGCCAGAGAGACTGGCACACAGACTAAGGGACAGAACGTTCTGTCACCGCCTGCCCCCACCACCCTTTAGGTGGCCCACTGAGGCTACTACCAGGCAAACCGGGAAGGGCTCCGTGGGGATGTAAGGACCTCTGACCGTGCACCCACCAGCTCTGTGCAGGCTCCAGGCGGGGGCCTTGGCCGGGGAGGGGTGAGATGTCAAGGGCTGGGTGGGGAATGGGGCAGGGCCCATTCTGACCCAGGAGTCCTCTCCCGCTAAGGGATCTGAGCACAGGGACCAGCTTAGAGCTCTGGATCTCCGTGAGCAGCAAGAGCACACCGTGCCCCCCACCAGTCACCCCACACCCATGCCTGTTTCTTCAGGTCGCCATCGAGGAGAAAAGGAGTAGCCTGGCAATGACCTGCTCAGCTCCTGCGTTGTCCTGCCGGGGTGGTAAGGGGTGCCTCCAGATGTCCCATCCTGAGCTGCCCCTGGTCCACGGCTCACACTGGCTGACACAGGCCGATGAGAGTCCTGAGACTCACAGCTGTTCTCTTCAGCCCAGCCAACCTGGAAGCCAAGAATGTGGCTCCACCTGGTGACCACCCAGCACCAGTGCCCCGGGCAGCACCAAACCAGGAGGCAGAGAGGCATGAATTCCAGTACCCCCAACGCAGCAACCACATGAAGAACAGAACAGCCTAGAGGAAGTTTCTGTTATTTATTCAACATCCTCTGCTGCCCTTTTGAGACCAGCAGAGCCGAGCTCCTTTGGAGAGCCTGTGGTCTGTCCCTGCGAATGCCCATCTGCAGACAATGCGGACGGCACCATGGAATGCAGTGCTTAAGGAGTCAGCGACAAAGCGCTAACAGAGTGCTAGTGTTAAGTATCACAAACCCCACACCTCTGGAAAGGGGAGCAGCGGGGAGCAGCCAGCCTCCACCAGCCCTGTCCTTGGTCTTCAGTGTGGGCCTCCTGTTCCTGGAGCCACCACCACCCACACCAGATTGGCAGGGGTCGCTCTCAGGGACTCGCTTGGGGGCAAGTCAGCTTCGAGCAGAGGCAGGCAGTTTCCATGTCTCCAGGCGGGGCAAAGTGGTCACGGCCTGGAAATGGGGAGAGATGGGGCTGGAAAGCCCGTGGCCACACCCAGGACCCAGATCCTCCCAGGGATGGGCTGTCCTCCCAGAACCCAGGAGCATCCTGCAGGTCAAGGCCTGTCCTCCACACCCACCAGAAGGCACAGCTTGGCAGGGCAGAGGGCCCGGCCCACGGACTCAGCTGACATGGCTGGGAACAAAGAGCCATGAGGCAAGCAAGGCCGGTGGGGGGCGGGGGACCCCTTCCTCAGCCACCTCCCTGATGCCCAGGCCTCTCTCCCACGCTGAGGCCACAGGCCACGAATGTGCTGGGGCACCAGGATGCCAAAGGACAAGAGAAACCCGGGAAGCAAGAAGGGGAATGGCCGCGAGGTGGTGGGGGCTTTCCATTCCCTGGGGGTGTAAGCTAGGCCTCGGGGTGAGGCGGGGCAGGCAGCCGGGATGGAGGCCGCATATGAGGGGAGAGAACACCAGGGGCCGGTGGCTGCTTCGCCCTGGGGACACCGTCCCCCCCAGCCCCCACTCCGGGTCGGCCGCAGGGCCCCCGCCAGCCCTCAGCCCACAGGCTGGGCCATCTTGGCGTGCAGGCTCTGGTGGGCGATGAGGTGGGCGCGCTGCTTGAAGCTCTTGTCGCACTCGCCGCAGCCGAAGGGCCGCTCGCCCGTGTGCACGCGCCGGTGGTCCAGCAGGTAGGAGCGCAGCGAGAAGCTCTTGCCGCACTCGCTGCAGCCGAAGGGCTTCTCGCCCGTGTGGATGCGCTGATGGTCGGCCAGGTAGGCGCTGCGGCTGAAGCTCTTGCCGCACTGGGAGCAGGAGAAGGGCTTCTGGCCCGTGTGCACGCCCTGGTGGCGCAGCAGGTCCGACGAGCTGCGGAAGCTCTTCTCGCACGCCTGGCACTTGTGCGGCTTCTCGCCCGTGTGTGTGCGCTGGTGGCGCGCCAGGTCCGAGCCCCAGCGGAAGCGCTTGCCGCACTGGCCGCAGCTGTGCGGCTTCTCCGCCGCCAGGTCCCGCAGCGGCCGCCGGCGCGCTGGCGGCCGCCCCCTCCGCGCCCCCACCGCGCGGCCCATGGGCGCCCCCGGCCGGGCCTCGCCGTCCCAGGCCTCGGGCTCCTCAGGGCTCCAGGACACAGTCACGTCGCCGCGCCCACCGCCGCCGCCGCCGCCGCCACCGCCGGCCTGGCCCGGCAGCGCCGTCACCGCCTCCCCCAGCCCGGATCGCTGGCTTTGGCTCTGAAGCCCCGCACCTGCAAGCCGAGAGGGGGCGGCCTCTTCAGTTCCACTGGGTTCTGGGACCAGAGCTGGGGCAAGGCAGAAACAGGACTCAGGTCCAGAAAGCCCAGGGCAGCACAGGACCCCAGCCTCAGTTTCCTTGCCCATAAAATAGGGACATGATAAAATGCTCGCGGAGAAACACTTCAGAGGCAGAGGCATGGGGTCCAGCTGGGCTGATCCACGCTGCATAGACGCTTATTAATTATACACCCAGCACTTCCACCCTGGGGTCCACACTGGCATCCCATGTCCCACCCTCTGAACCTTGGCTATTCAAACTCCAAAACTGAATAAATTCAGGTAGTTTGTAAGTTATCCAAACCCTCAGTATTTCTTACCAGAAACTGAGAACCTACATGGGTTCAGCCAATGTGGCTGCTCTTATTCCACAAGCTTTTGCCCCTTAAACTTAACAAGAGATTTGGACAGGGGATGATCCTAGCCTGCCCACTGTGTCATGTGGATTAAATGAGATGATCCCCAGACAGTGCTCAGAAAGGCTGTAGCGCAGAAAGGAGCTCCAGGTGGGTGGCCTCCGAAGAGCAGAGCCCAGGCCTTGGCACACGGACAACAGGTGTTCTGTCAACCCCTCTCCGTGGGGCTAAGGGGGCCTCACAACTACTGTACAGAGTCCCAGCTCAGCCCCTTCAGTGTCCGTTGGCCTCTCTGAGACTCAGATCCCTCGTGTGTGCACCGGAACTACACCTCTATGCGGCAGGTTTTGAGAATCACAAGAAAATGCCTGTATAAGAGCTCAGCACAGTGCTGACACATTGCAAGCACCCATGTTATGGTAACACACACTCAAAGGCAAAGAAAAATGAACACTGACACAAAGGGAAAATCACCCAGGGCTCTTGAAAAGACCCAGCAAAAGCCCTTTCCAGCCAGCTAAGGAGGAGATGGAAAGACTGAGGATTCTAGCAGGGACATACAGGGGTATACGGCCAGCTTGCGCCCACCCTCTGTCACCAGGACCCCCAAGAAGGCTGCTGCTTCCAGTTCAGAGGAGCCAAGGACCCCAAGGGCACCCACTGCTTACCCAGGGCAACATTCCGGGAGTTCTCTCGCTTTATGTCCCAAAAGAGTTCCCTCTGAGCAGGGTCCAGAGACCCCCATTCTTCCCGGGAGAAATAGAAGGGAATGTCTCCAAATGTCAAAGGTCCCTAGAATGAGGTTTAAAAAAAAAAAAAACCACAACCTGGCTCAGGGCTGCCACTCTGGGCTCCCCCTTGGGATGGGGAACAGGGTAGGTCCAGGCAGGACCAGGATGGATGGAAGAGGCCTTGATGAAAAGACAAGGCCCATTTTCGGGACTCAACAGCAGCGAGGGCCTCAGAGGGGACAAACGGACTGGTAACTCACATGGACCTCAGAGGCAAAGCAGGTACCGGTTGTCTCTCTGGTACTCCCTTCTTTAAGAGCAGGAAGCTGGGCTGAAGGAAAAGAACAGAGGTTCACAGAGACCAGCCCAGGCCAGGAGTAAGCTCTCACACATGTACACGCACACACATTCCTAGGCTTCCTAGAACAGAAATACCCTTCCTGGGGCGCCTGGGTGGCTCAGTCGCTAAGCGTCTGCCTTCAGCTCAGGTCATGATCCCAGGGTCCTGGGATCGAGCCCCGCATCGGGCTCCCTGCTCAGCGGGGAGCCTGCTTCTCCCTCTCCCACTCCCCCTGCTTGTACTCCCTCTCTCGTTGTGTCTCTCTCTGTCAAATAAATAAATAAAATCTTAAAAAAAAAAAAAAGAAAGAAAAAGAAAGAAATACTCTTCCTGCTACCCTGAGGGCAATGCCCTGGAAGGACCCAAGCCCCTGCCCAGCGATCTGTGCCTACAGGCTTACTCACCACCATGGCTGTGCTGCTCCCAAGGTACAGGTGGCCAGCTTCGTGCCCCCACCTTCATGGGAAGCCCCTTGGCCTGGGGTCCCTGGACTGTAGCTTCAGGTTCCACGTCCTCTGAGGGCACTTCCTGTGCAGGAACCACAACATGCTCATCAGCACCGAGACCAGATGGGGGAGACAGAGCTTAATCCCTGGGAAGGAGACATAGGACATGTCCCTCAGGATGCAGGGGGGTGGGGAAGGAGATCCACATGGGGTCCCAGAAATATCCAGAGGAGAAGGTGACACCAGGCAGTGCTGTGTGCCCAAGGACACTCCCTGATCAAGCATGAGGCAAGAACAGCTCCCAAAGGCCAAATCACAGAGCCACTTAGTAAGGGGGTGTGGGGGCAGACCTTCATGCCAAGGGTGGAACTCCACACCCCAGCCACTCATTAGCACCTTCCCCAGGATCAAGAATCCACAGAGAGCAGGGTTCACATGGACAGCTACCTTCTCATACCTACTCTGCTGCTCTCATTACACATGACTGTATCCCCAGGGCCTGGCCTACAGAACATAAAAAAATTTGCATAACCAGTGTGGAGCTAAAACTGCCTTCCTGAAACATGTCCACTTTGGTCCTGCTGCTGCCCTCCAAAGCCACCAAAAAGAAACCAGATTCATTTGGACAGTGTCTTTCAGAAAGGCAACACCTGTTATGATGCGCTCCTGCTGATGCTCCCTCTGGCTCTGCATCCCCACCACCCCTGGAGGACTTGTTTCTATGGAGATGGCCACCTCTCTTCAGCCAGGTGCCAGCCAGGTGCCTCTGGGTGTGGGAGGGGACCCTCACCTGTGGCCATGCTGTCACTGGCTGTTTCTGCAGGACCTCCACCAAGGCAACGGCCTCCTCGCCACTCCCTGGACACTGCTCTCGAACCCAGTCCTGGACGCCTCCAGGCAGCACACTCAGGAACTGCTCCAGCACCAGCAGCTCCAGGATCTGCTCCTTGGTGTGCAGCTCCGGCCGAAGCCAGCGGCAGCAGAGCTCCCAGAGCTGACTGAAGGCCTCATGGGGCCCGCCCACATCCCTATAGCAAAAATGTCGAAAGCGCTGGCGACAGACCTCAGAATCCCTGTTGTCTTCTTGCTGGGCAGAGTCCTGCTCCCAGGAGGAATCTTCCACCTTCACAATCAGCAGCCCTTCTCCCTCCCCAGGGGCCTCATCCTGAGGCTCCAGGGGTGCTGCCATTCCCCTGGCCTAAAGCTCAGGACTGGATGGCCTCAACCTTGGCCTGGGAGCCCGCCCTTCAGTCTCCCAGAGGGATCCCCTGTGGCAGCCAGGTGGACATCTGGACACGTATTCCTGGGGAAAGAGCAAAAAGCAGGAGGGGGGGCAGTAAATGAGCAAACACCGCCAGCCTGCTCCTGTCCTTTCCTGGCCCTGAAGGGTTTTTTAGGCTCTCCCATAATGCCTTGCTCATGCGACTACCAATACAGGTCTACAGCCCCTTATCCTCAGCTTTAAAATCCCAAACTGCCAGGTTTTTACTACCTGGCCTACTGATGTGAGCATATTCATAGTCTCCACTTATCTCACTTAACATAAATGTTCATATGTTTTACAGCAAAAATATTTATGTATTTCTTCAGCTTGTAAATATTCACTAAGCTGTACTTACCATGTGTATTTCTGTATGCGTATTACACTTCAGTAAAAGAAAACGTAATTAATACATTTGATTATTGAGTATTGCTGCAGATTCCGCTGGTAGAGTTACTTGATATACCATGTGTACCATATTACCTTCCTCAAATCTAAAACTTCTGAGTTCCAAAACACATTTTGGCCCTGCGGTGTCAACAAAGAGCTCACAGACACCAGGCTAAGCCATTTAGCCACAGGTACATACGAATGAGTGACACATATTTGTACCTTACATTGCTACTCCTTACAATAGTCCTGAAAAGTATATATTTTGAAATTTTCTTTAATTTCTCTTTTGTTTCAACAAAAAAAGTGACACAGACCGTTATAATAATAAAAAAAAAAAGGCAGGGGGACTTAATACAGAAACACATAAAATAGAAACTTCCTTCCAAATGCAGTTGCACACCCCCCCCCGCATAAACGGTATGACATGTGACCTCCTGGACTTTTCCCTGTCCATTCACTGAAAATGTATCCATAGAAACGGGAAAAACAAGTGTTTTTGTGTGTTTTACATAAATGAGGTCTTACTGCACATACTATTTTGTATCTTGCTTTTCCACCTAACAATGCTTCTTCATTAGCCACTCTGGGAGATTCCACGGTGTGGACGCGCTCCAGTTTCTTAACAGGTACCCGAGTGAGGCATTCAGCTTGTTTCCAGTCCTTCTCTACTACACACTAAGCACTTTATTCTTCCACGCCTCACAACACCCCTGAAAGGTACGCGCTCCATTCGCATCCTCCAGTGACCGAGGAGAAGGCTCCGCTCGGAGAGGACCAGGGACTCACCAGGGTCGCTCGGCAGGACGCGGCGAGCGGGAACGCGGACCGACCCCAGCAGCCTCGCCTGCGCGCAGCTGAGAAGCGGCGGGCTGGCAAGGCGGGAGCAGGGGACCCCACCCCCAGCACTTCCCAGCAGCGCGCGCCCCCTTCGGCCTCTGTCTCGGGGTGCTGGCCCCTGCCGCCCTCAGCCCAGCGCTCGATCTCGGAGCTCCGCGTCGCCGGTCCCGCCCCCGGGATACACACCGCCCACAACCGCCCAGGCGTTCCTAGTTCCGCCGCCAGCTCCCCGCGCCGGAAGTTCGCGCGCGGCTCGCCGGGAAACAACACAGCGCATGCGCCGCAGCAAGCACTCGAACTACACGCCCCAGAAAACCCTTCGCCCATTGAGTCCGCCTTCTCCCTGACGGATAGCCAATGAACGGGGAGAATTCCCAGAGTTGGCCAATCAGGAGGCAGCGGCGCCTACCTATGCCCCCGAGCTGAGGTTCGCTTCTAAACTCGTTCTTTCAGATTTCTCTGCCCTGCTGGTCCGTGAAGGGCGAAAAGGGAAAGCCAAGGCTGGTCTGTTGGGCCGAGACGGCGTCTGGCCCAGCCACGAGTAGAGGTCCCCATACGCTGGAAGGGATCCGCTGAGAACGGACTCTTCCTTCCGCCCCCGGTTCATGCCTCGAGTAGGTGGAGGGCGGAGGGCTGAAAGCCAGCGCGCTGCTCGGCCCCGGGATACTCATTTCCAGCTTCTTGGCCCCGCCCCCGCCAAAGTCTTTAGCCCCTCCTAGCGGGGCGTGGAGCTTCCTGGGAAATGCAGTCCAGTGAGGGACGCGGAGACTCCTGTGGCGATTCTTCGCACCTCGGCCGAGGTCGTGCGGCGGGACGCGGCCCACGGGGACGCTGACCCTGGGGAGCCCCCTCTCTCCCACCAGCAGCTTACTCTGCGGGGCGGCGGGCTCCCTACCGGGGAGCTCTGGGTTCTCCTTTCCATGCATTTGTACCTGCTCCCACACTCTACTTCTCTACCTGCAGATCTGTGGCTCCAGATCTTTTCCTGAAATATGAAGAGATCGCTTTTTGTTTTGATTATGCAAGTATTGCATGCCTAGTGTAGAAAAAATTAAGAAAGTATGGAAAATTATAAAGCTATCTATATCCACAAAGCTAGCACCCTCGATCTGCTCAAAAGTCGCTCCCTCCAATTGGCTTTTCCTAACTCTATATAAACAGCGCCCACCCCCCCCCCCCCCCCATACTTCTGCCCTACCTTATTTTTCTTCCTTTTATCACTACCTGACGCACCTATGTAATATTTGTTCCCTAGTACTGGACTGTAAGCTCCGTGAGGTCAGCGTTTTCACTGCCCCACTCCTAGCATCTGGATTTGTGCCTGGCACAATAATTGTTGACTAACTGAAGGCAAAAATAACTGGAGGTAAAAAAATATATTCCTAATAAGGTCATTCCAAAGTGAGTGATATAGGAAAGATGTTAGGGTTTGAAGCCCACGGCCAAGAAAGAACTCTTGAGTCTTTGGTGCAAAACGGTGATTTTATTAAAGCACAGACAGGACCCGTGGGCAGAAAGAGCTGCACCGGGGTCATGAGGAGTGGCCCATTACGTACTTACATACTTTCAAGTTGGGAGGTGGTTAGGGATAGCATAAGTCTGTAAGGAATTTTGGAAGCAAGGTTTCCAGGAACTTGAGAGGGCCAGCTATTGTTGGGAAAAGGTCATTTATTACCGTCTAATAAAACCTTGGTCATGAGACCCTTCAGATGTATATCGGAGGGCCATATGCTTGGGGGATGATTGCCAACATGTACCTTGGGGGGTTTAGAGATAAAGGAAGTTCTCAAAGGAATTTTTATATGTTAAGGTAGACTTACAGGATCCTGGGCGGGGGGAGGGGGGCTCAGGCTAGGATTGCCTTTTGCCTTTAGCAAAGTCTTTACATTGAGGCAGTTGAGTCCCTAGCGGAACGTCACTCTCCCTGGTTTTTTTTTTTAAGATTTTATTTATTTATTTGACATAGAGAGAGTGAGCACAAGCAGGGGGAGTGGCAGGCAGAGGGAGAAGCAGGCTCCCCACAGAGAAGGGGGAGCCCGATGTGGGACTCGATCCCAGGACTGCGGGCTCATGACCTGAGTCAAAGGCAGTCGCTTAACCAACTGAGCCACCCAGGCGCCCACTCTCCCTGTTTCAAGGACTTGTCAGTGGGCTCTAGAATCTAAAGTAAATTTAATAATTTTTTCTTCTGCCTTTGTTTCCCACACAGTGAGTATTATTAATATTTTAGTCTGTTTTTACACTTCTACGTCTACGAATATTTCTTATGTAAATTTGGAATAATTCTATGTAAGTAATGTTTTGTTGACTCAAAAGTCTATCAAGGATATCTCTAGGGCGCCTGGGTGGCTCAGTCGGCTAAGCGTCTGCCTGCAGCTCAGGTCATGATCCCAGGGTCCTGGGATTGAGCCCCACACCTGGCTCCCTGCTTGGCGGGGAGCCTGCTTCTCCCTTTCCCTCTGCCTGCCATTCCCCCTGCTTGTGCGCTCTTGCTTACCAGAGCACAAGCAGGAGGAGCAGTAGAGGGAGGGGGAGAAGCAGGCTTCCCATCAGCAGGCAGCTGTATGCAGGGCTGGATCCCAGGACCCTGGGATCATGACCTGAGCCAAAAGCAGATGCTTAGCCATCTGAGCCACCCAAGTGCCCCCCCAAAATAAAATCTTAAAAAAAAAAAGGATATCTTTCTATATCACCATGTATAAATAAAATGCATCTGTTTTGCAGGCTACATAGTATTCCATAGTATGGAAGTTCCATATTTTATTTAAAGTTCCTTACTCTTGGACATTTAGACTGTTTACAGTTTTCTGTATTTGCAAGTCATTTATACAAACACCCAGCTTCCAGCATTTGTTTGAACAATTTGCTGGAGGGCATGAGTCCTCTCTGTGAACACTGCTGAAGTGGATGCTCCTGGGCTCCCTCCCCTCCTTCTACTGGCCCCATGGAGAACAGCACAGAGAAAAAGGAAATTGAAAGTCTATTTTTCTAGGTGTGGACTTACAGTGTTCTTCCATTCCCCCCTCTATTGGCAAAGACGAACATCAAGTTGGCTACCAAAGGAGAAAGGCTCTAGTACCACAAAGCGGGACAAAATGTGTGTATTGTAGGCTGAGAAATAATAAATTAATAAGTGGCACACTTACCATATATTTGATTGGGCAGTGCCGGTAGATGACAAGTTATTTGTATACGATGACATTGAAACTGACCACCAAATAGCACTTTTCTTTTTTTTAAGATTTTTATTTATTTGAGAGAGAGAGAGAGCACATGAGAGGGGGTAGGGTTAGAGGGAGAAGCATTCTTTCTGAAAGTATTTTGGTTTGTTTTTCTAGGAAATCTAGTCTGGAAATAATGAAAGTCAAAATTTTCTTTCCAGAAAATTTATATTCATTTCCAGAATTTATACTCATTATTTCCTTAGTCTCAGTCTAGAACTCTCTAAACGATGTAAAAAATTGAGGACAACAGGTATTATTGTCTTGCTTAATGAAAATACTTTTAATGATTTACAATTATCCATTGTTTGTCCCTGATATATATCCATGATCATATTAAGGAGCATCTATTCTCATTTGCAGCAAAAAGACTACTAGCTGTCCCCAATATCAGTTTTCTTTTTTTTTTTTAATTTTATTTATTTGACAGAGAGAGAGACAGCGAGAGAGGGAACACAAGCAGGGGGAGTGGGAGAGGGAGAAGCAGGCTTCCCGTGGAGCCGGGAGCCCGATGCGGGGCTCCATCCCAGGACCCTGAGATCATGACCTGAGCCGAAGGCAGTTGCTTAACCAACTGAGCCACCCAGGTGCCCCCCTCCCCTTTTTTTCAGTTTTCTCCTTCTATAGTAAGAATTTTTCAATGGGCACATAGCCATTCAGAATAAGGAGTAGGGGTGCCTGGGTGGCTTAGTTGGTTAAAGTGTCTCCCTTTGGCTCAGGTCATGATCCCGGGGTTCTGGGATCCAGCCCCATGTCAGGCTTCCCACTCAGCAGGGAGTCTGCTTCTCCCTCTCCCCGGCCCCTCCCCACCCCAGCTTATGCTGTCTCTCTCTCAAATAGTCTTTAAAAAAAAAAAAAAAAAAAAAGAGTAAGGATTTCCCAGCGTCTCCTGCAGTTAAGCATGGCCATGTATTAAACTGAAGGCAATGAGATGTGAGCAGACGTGATGTATGTATCTTACTAGAAAGGGGTGGGTCCTGTATTCGTATTCTCTTTTTCCCAGCTGCTAACAGAAATTTGGATGTAGTGGTGTGAACCATGCAGATGACAGTAACACTCAGAGATATCAAAGCAGTAAGACAGAAAGTGCCTGGATTCCTGAAGATTGTGGAGCAACCAAGCTGGCCCTGGATTTATACCCACACAGTGATGTGAGAAAGAAATGGGTACCATGTTTAAGCCACTGCTATTTTGGGAACCTCTATTATAAACAGAGTGTATACCCTAACTAAATTACTACCTAGTAAGAGTTTTGTTGTTTTTTTTTTTCATTAAAAATAGAATATAAAGGGGCGCCTGGGTGGCTCAGTTGTTAAGCATCTGCCTTCGGCTCAGGTCATGATCCCACGGTCCTGGGATCGAGCCCCACGTCAGGTCCCTGCTCTGCATGAAGCCTGCTTCTCCAGCTCCAGCTCCCCCTTGCTTGTGTTCTCTCTCTCGCTGTGTATCTCTCTGTCAAATAAATAAATAAAATCTTAAAAAAAATAGAATATAAGGGGGACAACTGGGTGGCTCAGTCAGTTAAGCATCTGCCTTCCACTCAGGTCATGATCCCAGGGGCCTGGGATCCACCTGCGATGGGTTCCCTGCTCAGTGGGGAGTCTGCTTCTCCCTCTCCCCCTGCCCCGCCTTTTGCTCTCTCTCTCTCTCGCTCTCTCAAATGAATAAATGGAATCTAAAAAAAAAAAAAGAAGAAGAAGAACATAAGGGACACCTGGGTGGCTCAGTCAGTTGAGCAACTGATTCTTGGTTTCGGCTCTGGTCCTGATCTCAGGGTCATGAAATCAGCCCAGCACTGGGTTCTGCGCTTGGCATGGAGTCTGCTTGGGATTCTCTCTCTCCCTCTGTTCCTCCCACTTGTGCTCTCTCAAATAAATAAAGCTTTAAAAAATAGAACATAAAAATATTTATTTTTATAATTTCTCTTGTGGGATATTAGATATTCAGAATTTCCATGTCATCCTGACTAAATTTTGGTAGTTTTTTCTAGGAAATCATCCCTTTCATCTACAACTTAAAATTTATTAAGATAGGGGCGCCTGAGTGGCTCAGTCGTTAAGTGTCTGCCTTCGGCTCAGGTCATGGTCCCAGGGTCCTGGGATCAAGCCCCGCATCGGGCTCCCTGCTCCACGGGAAGCCTGCTTCTCCCTCTCCCACTCCTCCTGCTTGTGTCCTCTCTCTCGCTGTGTCTCTCTCTGTCAAATAAACAAAATCTTTAAAAAAATTTTTTATTAAGATAAAGTTGTTCGTAGTATTCCCGTTTGATTAAAATTTTAAAAATCAGCATGTATGGTTAAATCCTACTCCTTGTTTTGGGATCCTGAGATAGCACTTGAAGGGTGGAGCAGCAGGCTAGAAAGAGCCTGGGTCCCTGTTGACTTTGTGGGTTAGGGCTGCCACACCAATCCTGACATAGGCTGCCTACCTGCAGCCCACCTGCACATATTATCTTGAGAAATACACTTATACATCTTGGTTAAGATCCTGCTATTTGGGGGGCGCCTGTGTGGCTCAGTCATTGGGCATCTGCCTTCGGCTCGGGTCGTGATCCCAGGGTCCAGGGATAGAGCCCTGCATCAGTTGGGCTCCCTGCTCAGCAGGGAGTCTGCTTCTCCTTCTCCCCCTGCTTGTGTTCCCTCTCTCGCTGTGTCTCTGTCAAATAAATAAATAAAATCTTTAAAAAAAAAAAAAGATCCTATTTTGGATCTCTGTTATTTGTAATCCTAACTGATCCACTGCCTCACAGGGCTGTTATAAGGATTAAATAAATGAGAGAATACAAGAAGACCACCGAGCCCAGCACTACCTCTTAACACCTAGGAAGTGCTCAATAAAGAGTGACTAGTCCCAGGGAGTTGGGTATCGCCAGGAACCTGGCACAGGGGCATGCCCACAGGAGCATAAGGTACATGAGAAGCTGCCGGATTTAGGCCCTCCAGGCATTTTTTCCACTTTCCCCTTAACATTTGAGTCCAGCTTGTTCTGGTCAGTGGCCTGTTGGGTTGTAGTATTAATCTTCAAGACTAGCCTCGAACTTTGTTAGTTGAAAAGAGAAAAACTGGGGCGCTCTAGGAGGTGCCAGAGGTGCAGGCCACGGAGTGCTGTCTTTGCAACCGAGGCAAGGCAGCCTGACTGACCACACACCACAGACTGGCAGAGGAGCGTGAGGATGAGGAAGGTTGGATCATCTTCACAACCTTCCTTTCTCCACTCTCCACCATATACCAAGGAGAAACCTCAGCCCACAGCCTCTGGCAAGTCTCACCTTCTAGCCTCCCCTTCTGCAGGCACCTGCCACCAGAGGTGTCATTTCAGCTCCTGGTACATCAATCTCTTCCTCATGGTGGGGCCTTTATTCATTCTGCTCCCCTTGCTTGGAAGGTTCTGCCCCCAAATCCTTGTAAAACGGCTTCTCGTCATTCTCCAAGTCTCAGCTTAAATGTTCCCGCCTTGAAGGGGCCCTCTCTGACAGTCCGTTCCTAACATCCTCCATTGCTTCACACGTTCCTTTCTTTCTGGTATTTGTCACTACCTGAAAGCAATGTCTGTGTCACTTATCTGCTTATCAGTCTCCCTCACTAGACCGGAACCCCGTGAGGGCAAGGATCTTGTCTGGCTTTGTCATCGCGTATTCCTCATCATTTAGCAAAGAACCTGGAATGCAGGCATTCATTTCGTGTTTGAAATACGAATGAGTGAATGCTGCAAAGCCCCTACTTAACGTTTCCCTGCCCTTTACCTCCCTCCCCCCGCCATGGCCACCTCAGTTTCCCCGGCTCACCCCGCCCCCAAGAGGCGTCTCCCTCCAGACAGTTCCCGCGCCCGCGCCCGGCTCTCCCCAGCACCACTGTCAGGCCCTGCTCCGGGGCTCGGAAGGTCCTAGAGCGCCGGCGGGAGGTGTCCGCGCGCCCGCTGAGCTCCAGGGCAGGGGCCATAGGTGGAAGCCGGGATCGGGCTCCCAGAGTTCCCAGCCAGCAACGAGATGCCGGGGCTGGGAGCTCGAAACCGGAAGCGGCTCTGGCCCGGGCTGTCCGGCCCTCGCCCGCGGCCCCTCTAGGACCGCAGGAGGCTTGGCATCTCGGTAGTAGGCCCAGGGCCGGCTGTGAAGGCTAGGGGGGTGGCGAGGTCAGCAGTCCAGGCCCCCATCCTTGGTCCCTTCAGCAACGGCCATCCGGCAGAGGGGAAAAGGGAAAGCGTCAATGCGGAGATTTTTCGGATGTTGCCGGGCAACCCTGCCCCTTGGGGAGCGGTGGGGTGAAAAAGGGTCGTGATTGGCCGGTTCTGCTGCAGCCCGCCCCCTCGCCCCGCCCCGCCCCCTGACTGGCTAAGGTCTGAGCTGGTGGGAGGGGCCTGCCGGAAACCCATCCTCCTCGCTGCGAGGCCCCTTAATAAGGATGGCCCTCTTACGCCCTCGCCCGCGCCCGGCCTCGCTACCCGGCGGAGTCACCGAAGTGCGGGAGACGCCCTCGGCCCGGGGAGGGCAGCAGGGCCAGCTGGGATCTCGGCCCCCGGAACAGGGACCTGGGCCGTGCCTTGGGCCGCACAGGGAGCGGGTGGGCAGCCCGCAGCGACGATTCCCCGCCTCCGCCCTCACCCTCGCCCTCCCTCTGACGGCGCAGGCGCAGATGAAGCGTGAGCGACTAGGTGGGGGCCCTCCAAGGCCGGGAGGCTGGGAGGCCAGGTGTGGCAGAAGCCAGGAGGAAGCGGGCCAGAGACACCAAGACCCTTCCCTGGCGACCCCCTTCCCAGTCAGCTACCTCTCCATCACCCACCAAGTCACGAACACCCTTCAGCCTCACATTCTAGGCCCTTCCACGACATCTCCACTACCTCCGCAGTCTTAGTTGTTCTTGTCAAATGTTTCCTAAATTGCCAAGTTCCAGTCAAAAAATGTTCTCGCCAGCTCGATCCCAGGATGGTGGCCTCTGGATGGGTCTCTAAGCAGAAGTGGACTGAGACCCATGGGGCCCTTGGAATCATGTTCCTCTCCACCGTGCTATGAAAAGGGGAAACAGTTTCTCCAGGTCTCAGAGTTCCTCAGAGGCCAGAGTGGAGTCTTTAAACGATGCCCTGGCTCACTCGACAGATCTCTGGAGCTGTTCAAGTCCTGGCACACTGGCTATAAAGCCCAAGGAAGCAAATGAATCACCACTGTGCAAATAGTCCAATGTGCTAAGCTTGTATCAAGTTTAACGAGTGTCCTTCCAGCCTCTTTCATCAGGAAACAAGCTCCTGGAAGCTGCAAGCCTGCTTTATGTGAACAAGCCCTCCTCAGCCCCTTATATTGAGCCAAGCTGAGAAATCCCATTTCTGACTGAGTGACCCAAGCCATGAAGACAAGCTGAAGGGAAGAAACAGCTTGCTTTCTCATGTCTTCAAGAGCCATCTAATTCAACCAGTCCGGCCAGCAACCCAACCCTAGATCTCACGGAGAGCTGCCAGACACAACCAAGTTCTGCCTGGGCTCCCACTAGTCCGCAGCTTCCTGGCATCTGGCTGATGACCTGGTCCCCGACTCGCCATCTCCGGCTGAGTCCAGCAGCCCTGAAGGTCAAGTCTACAGTCTGTCTTACTCTTTTTGGACAGCCCCACCTCACAACATGCATTAGCCAGCCAGTAGTCGTTGGGATGCATGGAAGCAGGGGTATTCTTTACACAACAAAATCCCTGGACCTGAACCCCAGCTTCCATCTCTCTGGTTGTTGGCTAAGTTATTGGACCTCTCGGCTGTTTCCTCATCTATAAGACTGGGACGGGGTCCACTGCTCAGAGCTGTGAAGACTAGAAGTGACATATACATGGCACTTGGCCCCTTGACTGGCAGCTACTACTATCGTCAGTCCCCATTCCTGCTCCAACTCCCCTGGGAGCCAGGAGCCAGCCAGGGCGGCAGCCACCCTGCTGGCCCCGATTCAGGGAGGCAGGTGGAGTCTCAACAGCCGCCCACATGCAGGTGTCCTCAAGGTCAGTCGGTGTGTCAGAACCCAGTGTCATCTTGAGAGCCAAGCTGCAAGGTTTGGATAATAAGCAGGCTGAGCCCATTCCTCCCCAGGAAAAAAAGAGAATGGGAAATAGAAATACAGAGGTCAAAAAAGCAGAAGGCCAAGACTAAAAGAGCCAGACAGGGGCAGGTAGGGCAAATTATAAAGGACATGTACAAAGATGCCAAGGAGGTGAAGAGTACCAGAAGGAGCTGACTGCAGCCTCAGAAGGCACCAGGAGGGGCAGTGGTCCCTGGTAAAGGAGGAATCCTCACTGGATTACGGCCGGGCCCCAGTGGAAACACATGGAAAATGTCCAGTCACAAAACAGGCCTCCAGTGCCTGAGACAGGAGACAGGGAGGGCCGCAGACAAGGAACATGAGTTCCCAGCTGGCTCAACCCTGCTCCAGCTCCCAAAAAGAAGAGCCAAGGGAGGGTCCTGGGCTCAGGGGGCAATGTCCCTGGGGCCAGGAGCAGTGGTGGCAGCAGCAGACCACCCCTCCAGGGGGATCCACAGTCTCAGAAGTGGCTGGCTGGCTTCAGGTTTGGAAACCTCTGTGCCCAGAAGCCTTTGCTTGTAAACTTAGGGTCCGGATGCTCTGGACTGGCCCCAAGTCAGGTCAAGGCAGGGAAAGAGAGTACCCAAGCCCTGACAGCAATGACTCAGGGATGCCTCAGCCATGCTGACGTGGCTGACCCTGGAGGCCCCCCAGTCGGACTCACCGCCAGGGCCCCACGAGACAGAACATAAGTGGTGGCTGGAATTCCAAGGCCTTTAATTTGCAGCTAGCGTGCCCGCGCCTCGCCCTAGTTCCTGTGTTGCCACGCCCCACCCCATGCCAGCACCTCCCGCTCCCTTCCCACACCCCTTCTCACGCTGCCCTGATGCCTCCTAAGTGGGAGCAGGCGGGGGTGCCGCCAGCGCCCCCGCCGCCCCCAGCATCAGCATGGCCAGTGCCTTGGGCCCCGTCGTGTGGATCTTCTCGTGCCGGTGCAGGTTGGAGCGCCGGCTGAAGCTCTTGCCACAGAGGGGGCAGGAGTAGGGCCGGACGCCACGGTGGGTGCGCTGGTGGGCGGTGAGGTGTGAGCTATGACTGAAGCTCTTGCCACAGTCGAGGCAGTGGTAGGGCTTCTCGCCCGTGTGCGTGCGGTTGTGCGCGATGAGGTTGGAGCGCTGGCTGAAGCACTTGCCGCACTCGGGGCACGGGTAGGGCTTGACCCCAGTGTGGGTGCGCTGGTGGGTGACCAGGGCCGAGCTCTGCGTGAAGCACTTGCCGCAGATGGGGCACTTGTGGGGCTTGGCGCCCGTGTGGGTGCCCTGGTGGGTGACCAGGTCCGAGCGGCGGGTGAAGCGCTTGGCACAGCGGTCACACACGTAGGGCTTCTCACCCGTGTGGATGCGCTGGTGCTGGATCAGCGTCGAGTGGTGGCTGAAGCTCTTCCAGCAGGAGGGGCAGGTGTAGGGCTTCTCGCCCGTGTGGATGATCTGGTGCTGGATGAGGTGCGAACTGCGGCCAAAGCGCTTGCCGCAGTCCGTGCAGGTGTAGGGCTTCTCGCCCGTGTGGGTGCGCCGGTGGGTCACCAGGTGGGAGTGCCAGCTGAAGCCCTTGCCGCACTGCTCGCACTTGTAGGTCTTCTTGCTGGCGTCACCGTCGGGGGCCAGGCCCTCCTCGCTGCGCTCGGGGCTGCCCGTTCGCCCCTCTCTGGGTTTCTCTGGAAGGTGGCCCTCCTGGGCCTTCTCGAGGCTGGTGTCGGGCGGGGTCGGTTTCGCCCGCCTCTCCTCCAGGGGACCTGGCTGCCCATCGTCTTTGGCTGGCCCCGAGCTCTGGCCGCTGCCTGCTTGCTGCCCGCACTGCAGGATGTCTCCCTGGGCTCTCCCCACCCTGCTTCTGAAAGGCTTCACATCCCCAAGGGCTGCCAGGGATGCCAGGGATGGGGCTGGCTCCTCCTTTCCCATCTCAGTGGCTCCTGGAGAAAGAGAGTTTCCAGCAAGAGAGAGACTTCCATGAGGGACCCAGGGAAATTCTGGAAATGGAGTTAAGAATGAGGATCCTGGAAGGAAAAACCACCCCCCCTGCCCGGCAGAGGACAGGAAGCCGGCAGCCTTGCCCCTGGCACACGTCTGCACCCCCGGAAACAGAGGGCCTGCACTGACAAAGGGCACCCGGGAGTGACAGTGACCTACCCACCTGCCACCTCTGCACGCACCTGGCTTCTCCTCCTCATCTCCCATCTGTCGGCACGAGCTCGAGGCCTCACCCTTGCCCTGTCCTTGGGAGGCCCAGAAAGGTCTGCTGAAGGGAAATCCTGGCCAAAAAGAGACGAGATGCTGCACTCAGTTGTGGAACTTTCAGGCTGCACAGCAGGAGACAACCCCCACCCCCACCTGCCAAGTGAAGAGGCAGAAGTGGGGAGGCAGCTCTGCAAACATGGGGTAAAACGACATAAGCTGAAAAATCGCTTGGGGTCAGGTGTCCAGCCCTCTGTGGGAAGCACACTGTAGGGTAACTGCCAGACCTACTCTCCTCGGGGCTGAGTTGGGCTCCATCTCATTTCCCTGAAGGAGCCACAAGAGCAAAGGGAGAGGGGCCGGGTGAGGTCAGCTGCCGACAACCCCCTTTGTCACACAGGCCCCCAGCAGTGAGCCCAGCAATGTCTCCAGTCCTGCACCTTCCCAGACCAGGGGCAAAAAGGGCTCCTGGGGGAGGGACAGTGGGTGCAACGAAGCCCAGTGGGAGGGCCTGGGAGAAGAGGCCAGGGGTGCTGACCACCTAGTCAGGGACCAAAGGCCCACTGGCCAAGTCCCCTGGGGCAAGGGCCTGGGGATTCTGGTCAAGTCAGTAAGAGAGCAGAGGCCCCAGCCTCCATGCCCTGATCCATACCCTGCAGGAGGGAAGGAATGTGTTGGACCCACCAGCAGGTTTAGGGCATTTGTGAGGCTTGCTGTGGGGCTGCAAATGGGAGCTGAGTTCCCTCTGATCTCTCGGGACTTGCCTGGACCTGCCGCTCTGGGCCCTGGGGAGTGCTAAGGATGGGTGGTAAGCAAACCTGAGATAATTAAAGGAGTGAGCTGTCCTGACTCCAAGGCCCACCACCGAAGTCAAGGGTGGAATGACCAAGCCCCTGGCTCCCTGGACTAGCAAGTGTGCCCCTGGTGTGTATGGACGGACAGACAGACAGACCAGACACATGAATGAACGGCAATGAAGGAATGAGCACCAGGAGCTGTCCGCAAGACCTCCTAAATTCTGCCAACAAAAGCAGGGTCTGAAACGGAGGAGTCGGAGTGCTGGGACTTTACTTACCATGAGAAACAATGAGGGGGCCAAGGCCCCTCTGAAAAAAACGACAGGCCCCTCAGGGTGGACGTGACAGCTCAGGGTCTGGGGGCCTAGAGAGATTAGCTGGCACCCATGCGCCCCACCCCCGGCAGGCATCCCCGATCTGCAGCCAAGCTCTCAGCGCACACACCTCTCAGGTGGGACTTTGAGGAGCGCGACGGTGGGAGAAGCGGACTAAACAGAAGGGCCGGGGAGCAGAACCTCGAGGCCAGCACTGCCCAACACGGCAGCCACTCGCCACGTGGGGCTATTGCAATTCAAACTTGAGCCGGGTAAAAGGAAATGAAATATGAACTCAGGCGCTCCAGCCACATTTCCGGTGCCGAGCAGCCACATCTGGCTCGCGGGCCCCAGGTCAGCACAGAGCACCCGTCCCCCACCGGGAAGGTGTTATAGAAGAGAGCGGCCCACATGAACGATGAGAAGGAACTTGGGCCCTGGAAGGAGGGGACGGCGGGATGGCCCCACCTCTGGCACCGGGCCCCAGTAAGTAGCCACCCCAGCACAACCTCGGGCCCTTACCCAAGGACAGCCCGTTCCTCTTCTGCAGGACGTCCCTATAGAAGCTCTGCTGCGCGTGGTCCAGCCGCCCCCACTCCTCCCGGGAGAGGTATAGAGCCACATCCTCAAAGGTCACTGGCATCTGAAACAACACACAATGCCCACTCTCCAGGGCACGCTGGGACACCGTGGAGGGGCACATGGCTCCAAGATGAGGGCGACCCCTCCCCAGCCTCCAACCTGCTGCCCCGAGTAAGGCCTGTCCTCCCAATTTGTCTGATGGTGAAGCAGGACAACCGCCCAAGGGTGACTTTTGCCGGGGGGCGGGCAATAACAAAGCAGTTGTGTACAACAGAAAACAAAAGACGAAGACAGGGCGCCTGGGTGGCTCAGTCACTAAGCGTCTGCCTTCGGCTCAGGTCATGGTCCCAGGGTCCTGGGATCGAGCCCCGCATCGGGCTCCCTGCTCCACGGGGAGCCTGCTTCTCCCTCTCCCACTCCCCCTGCTTGTGTTCCCTCTCTCTCGCTGTCTCTCTCTCTGTCAAATAAATAAAATCTTAAAAAAAAAAAATTAAAAATAAATAAATAAATAAATAAAAATAAAAGACAAAGACAAGGGCCCTTTCCAGCACCACAACCAAAGCTCAGGCTCTCCACGCGCCCCCCTCCGGCCCCCACCCTCGGTCCGGCGCTCAGATCCAGACGCTGAGGCACAGACATGCCGTTTCTCCATATCCTTGTGCTCTTCCTCCAGCCTCGCACTTGAACAGGGACGCTCACCTGGGACCAGGCTGTAAGCAGTGCCGCAGCCATCTGCCGGTCTCTGGTCCTCCCTTCGCGAGCAAGCCCGGGGATCTGGGGGGAGGGGAGGGCTGAGAGCGGAGAGAGGGCCTCAGGGCGGACACCTCACCGTGCTGGGCCCCGCCGCTCCCCCTGAGCAGACCATGCCTGGCTTACCAGGGACACCACAGCTGCCTCAAACTCCACCCCCAACCTGGCCCAATAAGAGGGTCAGTAGGTTCTAAGGTTGTGCGGGAACGGCCTCTGAGGGGCAGGTGGGCAGACATCCGGGCAGCTCCATGGCAGGAGAGCTTGTGCGCCGCCCCCCATGCTGTGAGCCTCCACCTCTCCCCACAGCTGCCACCCAACAAAGTGCATCTCTCCACGTCCCTCTCCATCCCTCTCCTCACCTCCACCAGGCAGGAAAAGAGCTTTCTCCTTCGAGCCCTGGCTTAGGGACACCCAGCCTGGCGTTCCTGGAGCCCCATCCCCCTGCGATGCCCCCTCAGGGTGTGGCTCTTCCGGCTCCGTCTTGATGTGGGGTGACTCCTGAGCAGCTCCCAAAGGCACCATCTCCTCCGACTCAGAAAGCATTTCTTGACAAGGATGCTCATGACCTGGAACCTTGGAATGACAGCCCCCATCAGCACCCGGGCAGAGTATGGGAGACTCAGCTGAGCTCCACACCTGAGGGTCCTGGCAGGGGCCACACACACCCAAATGCAAAGCACAGATTGAAGGACTGGCCTTGCTCTCTTCTGGCCTGGGGACCCGCACATCTTTGCTTTGCCTCCACAAGGCCGCGGCGGCAAGGGAAGGCAGGCTCGAGGTCGGGCCAGGGGCAGGCATGCCAGGTGCCCACAGAGTAGATGCCTTCTCAATTCCAGCCTCGTACCACCCACAGCAGTGTGGACTGTTACCGTTTAACACTGAGGAAACCAAGTGCAGTGGACTGAATAGTGTCCCCCCAAATTTCACATCTGCTCGGAACCTCAGAACATGACCTTATTTGAAGATGTAATTAGTTAAGGATCCTGAGATGAAATCATCCTGCATTTAGACTGGGTCCTAAATCCAATGACTGGTGTCCTTATAAGAGGAAAAGACATGGAAACACAGAGAAAGCCACGTGAAGATGGAGTCAGAGCTGGGGTGAAGCCAAGGGACACTTGGAGCCACCAGACACTGAGAGGCAGAAGGATCCTCTTCCTAGAGGCTGGGAAGGGAGCCCCCGCAGTGCTGTGATTTGGGGTTTCTGGCCTCTAGAACTGAGGGAATAAATTCTGGTTGTTACACAGACACAGGAAACTGATGTATCCGGGCTCAGAGATCAGACAACGGCCCTAGATCACAGATCCCATGAGTGCTCGGCCAAGGGTGGAACTCAAGGGTATCTGACTCACAAGTCAACCCCAGGGCCACCATTTCTTGGAGATGACAGGGAGGTATCATGTGGCCTTGGGCCATTTCCAGCCTGACTCAATTTGGTCACAGAAGTTGGAGTTTTGGGGTTTGGAGAAAAAAGCCCAAGGGCACCGCCAACTGCGCCAAGGCCCACGCCCACCTCGGTCAGACAGAAGAAAAACCTCCTGGTTCACCCCTGCAGCACCACCCACCACAATGGTGCTTCCAGGGTCCTCCTACCCAGTCCCCACTTCTTCACACCAGCCTCAGCTCCAGCCCCTGGGACGGTGAGAAAGGGGCTTTGGAGTCAGGCAACCAGGACTCAGATCCAAGCCATCCAGGCCGGCCCCTCACTAGCTGCTCAACCTGGAGCAGGCACCGCCTTCACACAAACCTCAAGAGTTTTGGGAAAGTCACTTCCTTTGCCTTGGGAGGCCCCTGGTGAGGCCTCCCTGTCATCCACAACACAGGGACTGGCCAGGCTTCTCCCTCCACCACCCCCCACCTACCATCTATGTTATTAGGGTCTCAGAGGGAAAGACCCTCAGGCCAGGGAGCCACCTGGGCCAGGCAGCCTCTGAGACTCAGCTGCTCTGCCTCATGCACAGATAACCTGTGAGAAAGAGCTGCGCACTCTGGAACATTCTGGATAAACACAGAGTGGTGCCAATAATTATTATTATTACCCTACTGTGTGAGCTGACAGAATCCAACAGTAGCAGAGAACGTCAGGGACGTGTGAGGCCCATCGGGTGTTACCAAGGGGTCACGGAAGGGAAAGCAAACAAAGCTGACACTCCTTTGTGCGTCTATGGCACGAAAATGGAACAATTAATACAGACGGTCCCTGACTTACAACGGCTCAACTTAACCAGTTGTCGACTTTACGATGGCACTAAAGTGATAACACATTCGGTAGAAACTGTACTTCGAATTTTGAATTTGCATCTTCCGCTGGGCTAACGATCTGTAGCACGGTCCTCCCTGGGGATGCGGGGGCAGGAGCCAAAGCTCCCCGTCAGCCACGCGCTCACGAGGGTAAACGACCGACAGACTGACCGCCATCCCGTTTTTCTCTTTCAGTACGGTATTCACTATATTACATGAGATACTGCTCAGCACTTCAGTATGAAATGGCTCTGTGGGAGGCGATTTTGCCCAACTATAGGCTGATGTTAGTGTTCTGAGCTCGTCTGGGGGAGGCAGATTAAGCTATGATGTTCAGTAGGTTAGTGTGTTAAATGCATTTTCGACTTCTTACACTTACAATGGGTTTATCAGGATGTAACCCCAACACAAGTCGAGGAAGATCTGCACTTGATTTGTATTTGAACTTACAACCCCTGGAACTACTAGTTGAGGTGCTGTAGGTTTCTCTGACCTAGGTTCTAGTTGCTGTGGGTGTTATTTTATGTTACAATATAATAGGGAGGCTCTGAGCCTCCCAACCACCTAGATGAGACAGGTAGGAACAGCAGGCCCGTGACAGACATGTTATAGGTGACACTCCTGGCTCCCAGAGGCAGGGGACCTGCCCAAGGCACATACCTGGCTGCAGCTGACTCATATTCCTTTGATTCCAAGCCCAGTGGCTCTGCCCCCCCCCCCCCCCCCCCGGTTGTGATTACACACATGGGCAACAGGTACATGAAGGACTAGGTGCTTAGACCTAGAGAGAGTGGAGATGGGGTCCTAGGCAGAGGGAGGGTAAACTGAGGCCTCCCTGCGTGCTCTGGGCACTGTTCAGAGAGCAACCCCACCAGGAGGACCCCCATGCAGCCTCCTTGCTATTTCGTATGGCCTTTGGCCAAATGACGACTGAAATTGCCAGGCAAAGCGGCGGAGCAGCTTGGTAGCTGTCGACTCCCAGGTGGAAGGCATTTCCTGTTGTACCACCATCTCTTCAACACCTGCCATCACCCCCCTCCACCAGCCCTGCACCCTGGCGAGCCTAACTCTTCCTTGCCTTGAAAATCTCCTCCTGCTCTCAGTCCTTCCAGGACATGCGTCCCTCACCCAGCACCCCGTCCATACCTCTCGGGCTCGCTCCTTGTCCTGGGCAACCCGGGTGCCTCCACCGTCTGCAGACATTTCTGAGTCAGAGGTAGAAAGCACAGCTGAGTCGTTTCTCCCTCTTGTTGGCCAACCCCCTCCAGCTTCTGGCCAGGAGCCTGAAAGAGCAGGAAGAAATCAGCCAGCGTCTGCTGGGCACCTCTAAAGCACTGTGAAAATCGCCACGCAGGACCAGACCCATCCTTGGTCCCAATCAGAAATAAAGCCTCCCAGATGCCTCCCAGTGACCTCACTCTCTATGATGGTTTTTGGTCCCTCGCTTGACAGAATGCTATTTTGTATCGTCCCCTTTGTCACTTAAGCCAGGACTCTGCATCTCAGAGCAGCCCAGTTAGGGAAAGCCAGGGCTGACTTAGAATCTGTCTCTCCTGCCATCAGGAGCCAAAAGGTCTGCAGAGATCCTAAAAACAGGTGTGGCCACACCCGTCACAGCCAGCTCAGCGGGAGAATTGACGCCCCACTGTCTCCCGGGCCCAGGACACACACACCCTGCGCTCGACCTGACTCAGCCCCGCCTGGGATCCAGAAACTGAGCGGCCTGCAGCTGCAACCACCCGCCAGGTTCATCCTGCTCAGGGGCCTGGACGGACCATGTCCTTCCCCTTCCCGAACCTGGGTCCAGGCCCGCTTTTCTCCCCACCAGCCTGAAGCCTTCCACCTTTGACCCCGTCCCCTCCTGCCAGCCGGCCACCCACATGGATCTCGGGATCCAGGCCCCCTCCCAATGCCCCTCTCACCGAGGTGGAGGCAGAGGGGGCACCTCGGGTGGTGGGGGCCCCCTCCCCCCAGGAAGGGAGACTCCACAGCCTGCACCGGGCCGGGGAGCCGGGTGGAGACTGGGATTAGGGACAACAGGAAGTCCCTCCCAGATCCCGTTCCCCACGCAGCTGCAGCCCTACAGGGTTCCCGGCTTCGAGGGTTCCGGGTCTGGGGTCCTGAGCTGTGCTGCACCTGCTCTCAGCCGGGAGGTGAGTCCTAGGTCTGTGCTGCCTGCTCACGATCGCTTTACCTGGCATGCACTTGTGATGCCAGCAAAGCAGGGACGCCGAAATGGGGAAATAAATTCTGTGCAAGGATTCTGACATTTGACATTTCAAACAGGGCACTGCAACTGTTCTCACAGAAGGAAGGGCACTTTTTCTGGGTGGAGGGGCACAATGGTCCTTTTTGACACACAGGGCTTCTGAAGGTCTTATGGTGTCTCCGTGGAGACGTTCCTGGATTTCACCTAAGGCCCCCAGGCCGGTGAGCAGGTCCTCTGGGCTCTCCCCAAGACTGGCGTGGAGTTCTCTCTCCCTCAGAGCAAATTTAGCAAACAGGCCTGGGAACTACCCCCTACCCTCACCCCTGTGTCGGGCCAATCTGATTCCTCTAGACCTCCTCCCCAGCTCCGTCTCAAGGCTGGGGAGTGTAACAGGGGTAACGGGGTCTGACCCAGTCGTCAATAGGGTCCCAGACTCCATCTCCCAGTCTTGGCTTTCCCTTTGGGCCCTGAGAACCAAGGCTCCCAAAATGGAGGCTGAGACTGCTTCACTTCTAGGTTGAAGAACCCATCTCCCCCCTGAGCAGGGCATTGAGGATGGGTCTCAGGAGACGAGTGGGGCCAGCTCTGGAGTCAGACTCCAGGAAACCTCCCCATGCCCGTGGCCTCCAGTCATCAGAATCCTCTGACTCTTCACCCAGTAAGACAGGCACACCTGGCCCTGTGCCGGCCTACAGGTGTGCTGTGTGGGCCCACAGGGGGTTAACTACTTTAGTTTTCCAACATTTAACAATTAGTAAAGTTCTCATAAAATCGATTTTCTTGAAAAATCAGAACATCAGGCAACCCTGCACTCATATTCCCCACATTCGGAGGCTGCTCTCATGTAGCTGCATTTGGTCCCCACTTGCCCCTGCAGCATTCTGAATTTGCAACTCTGCTTTTGGAGTTAAGCATGTTTTAGGATTCTGATCTATCCTACTGTCACTTTGATGAACAAAAAATATTAGCCTTGGGGTTTGCCTCTGGTCAGTATTTCCAGGAGTTTTAATCCTCAAGGTAAAGAGGGATGTCCAAAGTTGTAGCAAAAGTCAATACGATTGTCAAGCCAGAGAACTATAAACTGAGAAGTCACAGGGGGCTGTGAAAAAGATTAACTACTCAGTCTGTGAATGTTTCTCCACCAACAAGGAACATGACCAGTGTCCAGAGTAAGGAGACTCACTCCTGTGGTGACCCATTTCAGCCCACGTCAGCTCTAGGCATGCACCGAGTCCCAAAACAGTGGGGGTGTCCTGATTCTTGGGCAAATGTTTCTCTACCAGACAAAAGGGGCCACTTCAGGGATGCTGGGGAAGTCCAGCAGTTTGGATCCCACCACGAGATCACCTAAACTAAACCAAATGAAGTCTCAACATTTATTTAACTGTTCAGAAAATATTTATTGAGCACCTACTATATGACAGACATTAGACCCTTCCTGGAGGTGAGAGGGAACACCTCCAGGGCTGGCTCTAGGACTGAGCAGGTCTAGGAGAAAGGGTGTTCACATTTGCTGTGTGGGAACTGCAGTCCCTAAAAGACCGCAGAAAGGCACCAGGGAAAGCAGAGATCAAAAACCTAAATGACTCCAGCAAACAGCACCACAAATGACCAGTGGCTTGGGTGCAAGATGGTAGTGGGGGAGGAGCTGCAGGGGTTTCAAGGATTCATATTTTGTTCAAAGGGGGCAGTTGGGGCTCAATATTGCCAAAGCTTGAGGATTTTTCAAGAGACGCCAAAAAAAAAAAAGAATTAGATTTATATGTGAAATATCCGAACTTTTAAAATGTTGATGATTCAAATAAAAATTTAAGAACTCCATACAACTTCAGCAGAAAACACCTGCTGTCTAGCTCATGGGGCACCAGTTCAGGGATGTACTCACCTCAGGAGCCTGTCACAAGGATAACTATCACGGATGGAGGCGCTTATCTGGGCTTCAGACCGAGCAAACATTCCCGCATCTGGCGGCTTCACTGAGCTTAAGAAGAGGTCACCTTCAGTTAATAAATCATGATCTACCTTCAGACATTGGCCTGAGAATTGACTCCGGTCCCACAAAACCGATCAGAATAATAAGAACTAGAAAAAGGCGCCACCTGAAGTAAGAAGGGGAAAAAATGTTTAAAAAGGAAAGGGAAGAAAGCTTGTACTAATTACGGCTGTTCAGCCAGGCTGGAGACAGGGTAATGCAGAACTCTCATCTAGCCTTAGGAAGGAGAGAAGATAAGGAGAAATAAAGGAATGTGAGAGAGGCCAGGAAAAACAGGAATAATCGAGTAAACAGCAGAGCAAATGCTAACCATGGAAAAAGAAAAAAAAAAAAGGAAAGCAGATAGGTGGGGAAATTAGGTGGGGCCCCAGGAATACAAATTTTTTAAAAGCAAATAACGAAGAACCCTCAGGGCCACTGAGACCAGGGCGTGGACGCCCCCGCGGCCAGCGGCAAACCCGAGGCCCCGTGCCCTGACGCCAGGCGGCCGCACGAGCCACCGTTCCCGGCCGCGGGAGGCCCACGAACCCCACGCCCACGAGTCACCGCCTTCCAGCCCCCAGCCGGCCGAACACCGACGCTGCATCGCGTCGCCCAGGCAGCGACGCCGCCCCGCCCACGCGCCCACGGGAGCCACCGGTGATTGGCTGGCGCCCGACGGCCTGGCCCATCCGCCAGTCCAGGGCCCCGCCCCTAGCTGCGCGCTCCCGTCCGCGCTCCCCCGAGGGACAGCCCCGCCGAGGGGGGAGGGTCACATTGGACGGCCTGCCTCTGGCCGGTGTGCCCGCGTTTCCCGTCCGGCTGCCTCATTTCAACTTCCGGTTTCCCGGCTCTCTCCCGGCGCCCGCCAGTGGGCATCGTGCGCGGGGACAGCCGGGGCGGTGAGGCCCGCGAGGAGGACGGCCACGAGCCCTCGAGTCGGCGTCTCGCGTGGGGAAACTGAAGCTGTCTGCGCGAGGGCCCGGCGCCCGGTCCGGCCTCCGACACTCACCTGTTCTGAATTTTGTTTCAAAAACGGGAGTATAGCATATGCTGCCGACCTGCCCCCTCTGTGACGCATACCTTGTTCAATATAAAAACAGAGAGGACAAGAACCATGCTGTGTCAAAACCAAACAGCCAGACATCCGTCAAGGCAGCGAAAGCAGACTTTATTCAGTAACTGCTGACAGCAGGGGAAAGAGCTGAGCGCTGTCGGGTTTGTGCAGAGGTGACTGGGGTTTTAAAGGGAGGAGGGAGGAGGAGCGCAAGACCCACTAGAGTCAGGGTCGTGAACGATCACAGACAGCGGGTCCGTGGGGGTGTGACCAGGCCAGGAGGTGTGTCACTGGCAGGTATGGAAGTCAGCAGTCTATCCTCCCACGGAGAAGGGAGACAGAAGCCAGGTCCCTCCAAAAGAATGGCTCTCCCATGACAGATGCTTCTCGGTTTTGAGACACATACAATAATAAACCCTTTTTAGTAAATGCTCTAAGAAAGGGAGGTCAGCTGTTGGCTGGAACAAACACTAAATTCTCCCTGCAGCATTGAGCTTTCTCAGGCAGGGCTGCGGTCATCCTAGCCATGCGCTGCTGGAAGCCATTCTAGAGTCTGGTCAAGTCTTTCCGTGCTGGTTTAGGAATGGTTATGTGCTGAGAGTTCTGTAAATCTCAAGCGGTGCCTTGCTGGTTTTTAGCTATGGTACATTCCTTTGTATGGCTGACCCAGCAGCCTGCCCATCACAGTCAGCAGAAATGGCCTTTTCCTGCCCTGGGCAAGCTCCAGAAAAGGCCAAGAGGCCCCTTCCTAGGCAGCAACGCCAAGTGCTTCCTTCCATGATTGTCAAGGCTAGCAGCTTAAGCCTCAGCGCTAGTTTGAGCTATAGCTCAAAACTCACTCTGGCTGGCCCTTTGGTGTGGAAATTAGAGTAAATTAAGTTACTTTTTCTTTAGAGATTGGTGCATTTTTAGGAAACCAGGAGAGTGTCATCATCCCAAAATAGCCTTCGTTGCAGCTGCCACCTCCTACTATCTCATACCTAAAGTGTCCCTCTCGGGTAGAGTTTCAGGTTACATTCATTCATGCAAACCTAAGACACTGAGGCAGGGGGGAGAGGGGGACACAGAAGGCATCCTGCCGGGCTCAGCACCAGAGGACCTTTACTGGAGGCCCCTCATAGTAGCAAATGGCACCCAAGCACCCACCCTTGATGGCAGTTTTGGATTATATTTACAACCCTTCATCCTGCTACATTCTCCCTCCCCCACTCCCAGCCCTCAGACTCCCTCTACAGATCTTGTGGTCTCACACAGAATCTTTTATATTCTTTTACTTCAGTGGGTGTGGAAAAAAAATGTAGAGTTTCCATTTATTTTTACTTTATCTCATCCTTTCAAAATTTCAATTTTTGTGATTTTTTTTTTTAAGTAGGTTCTATGCCCAGCATGGAGCGCAATGCAGGGCTTGAACTTACAACCCTGAGATCAAGACCTGAGCTGAGATCGAGTCAGATTCTTAACTGACTGAGCCACCCAGGCACCCCTTTGTGAATGTTTTATAATGTGTGTGTGGGGGGGAATCAGCTAATGATAAGAATCAGGGCCCTTGGAGAAATGGCTGATCCTAGGACCAGGGCAAGATATACACAAGATGAGTCTGTAGATGGTGGGAGGGGAAAGATTGCAAGCTCTCTAGACAAGTGGGTGGCAGAATATTTTAAAGCTGAACATCTACATACTCTGTGACATAAGCGATTCACTCCTGGGTAGAAACCCAGCAGTAACTCATATCCCATGGTCACCAGAGACTTACAAGAACTACTACATGTAGTCCCAAACAGAAAACCACCTACTGTCTAGGTAGGTGGGATAAACAAATAATGCGACAAGGAACACCATTCAGGAAACAAGCAACACATGGATTGGGTCTCCCACTATGGGGTAAGCAAGATGAAGAATTCCTTGGGGTGCCTGACTGGCTCAGACTGTACGGCATGCAACTCTTGATCTTGGGGTTGTGTGTTTGAGCCCTACCTTGGGTTTAGAGATTACTTAAAAATAAATCTTAGGGGCACCTGGGGTGGCTCAGTTGACTAAGTGTCTGCCTTCAGCTCAGGTCATGATCCTGCGGTCCTGGGATGAAGACCCACGTTGGGCTCCCTGCTCAGTGGGAAGTCAGCCTCTCCCTCTCCACCCCCTGCTCGTACTCTCGCTTGCTCTCTCTCAAATAACTAAGTTAAATATCTTGAAAAAAAAAAAGAAATAAGAAATAAAATCTTTTTCAAAAAATCCTATTCTGTGACTTCATTTACATGAAGTTCAAACCCAGACCAAATGTATCTGCTATAGTTGGGAAGTTAAGATGGTGATTATGGGGGAGGGACATGGCCAGAAGGGGGCACCAGAGTAGGCCAGGAATGCAATGGCTGTCCTCACTTGGGTGGAAATTCATGGTACTCTGCATTCTTGGTTTGTGTACATTTCTGTATGTTACACCTAAAACTTTTGTTTAAAAAAAAATGTGAATAAAGAGAAACGAGTGGGGCGCCTGGGTGGCTCAGTTGGTTACAAGTTGGCCCTTCTGCTCAGGTCATGATCCCAGGGTCCTGGGATGGAGCCCCACGTTGGGGTCCCTCCTCAGTGGAGAGTCTGCTTCGCCTCAACCTCTGCCTGCCACTCCCCCTGCGTGTGCTCTCTTTCTGTGTGTGTCAAATAAATAAATAAAGTCTTTTAAAAAAGAGAAAAACCAGTGAGGCCATTGCTATGGCCTTGGCAGGTGACGATGGTGGCCTGGACTTGGATGACAAGCAGTGGAAGTACAGAAATAGGCAGATTTGTAAAATATTAGGATATTAACCCTACGGAACTGGGAGACTGACGAGATGTGAGAATGAGGTAAAGCGGGGGATCAGGGATAAATCCCAATTTCTGGCTTGAGTGACATGTTTACCAGACTAGAGAATATCAGAGGCACAGAGATTTGATGTGGAGGACTCACTGGAGACACATGTAGTGAGGATTTGCTACGTGCCGGGCACTGGGGACGCAGCGGGCAACGGCAACTGAGCCACTGCCGTGGAGCTTGCAAGGGGCTGCGTGAGCTTGGTCTTGAACACAAAGACTCTGGGGCATTTATGAGATATCCAGGTGGCAACATCAAGGGCAAAGAGTCGAGAAAGAAAATATAAATACAGGGATATTGGCACTGAGAATGGTTATGGAGGCAGCTATGAAACCAGCAAGGGAGGTATATTAGTTACTTATTGCTGTGTAACCAAGATCCCAAAACATTGTAGCTTAAAATAAATACTTATTATCTCATGGTTTCTGTACCCTACAGGGCTTAGCTGGGTGCCTCTAGCTCCTCAAGCTCAAGGTCAATAGCCGTGGTCAAGTCATCCATTTGACTGTGGGAGAGAGTCCAAGTTGACTGGCCTTCGTCCCTCACCACAAGGGCCTCTCCTCAGACATGGTTCCCCCAGGGTGAGCCAGCAAGATCTGGAGCGCGTGAGGGCCGCCGAGAAATCACAGTCTGTTTACAACCTAATCTCAGAAGTGACACGCCTCTGCTCCTACTCAATTCTGCTCATTAGAAGTGAATCACAAGACGCCTGTGGGGTTCAGCCGGTTGGGCATCTGCCTTCAGTTCAGGTCATGATCCCAGGGTCCTGGGATCGAGTCCCACATCGGGCTCCCTGCTCGGTGGGAGGCCTGCTTCTCGCTCTGCCTGCTCTGTCGGCCAGTCCCCCCGCTTGTTCTCTCGCTCTCTGACAAATAAAATCTTAAAAAAAAAAAAGAAGTGAATCACTAAATCCAGCCCCCACACAAAGGGAGTGGGTTACACAAGGGTGAGACCAACGAGAGGCAAGGATCACTGGAGGCCCCCAGGCCAGAGCCTCGCGGGTGCCAACACGTACTGCTCAGTAAATGCTCACAGGTGAGGCTGGTGCAGGAGGCTGATGAGCAGAGACTTTGGGAGAAATGGAGAAAGAGAAGACAGACAATAAGGAAGGAAGGAGAAGATCAAACCCACTGAGAGGTCCACCGGGAACCAGCGACCCACGGAGACATGCTCTGTGGCTGACCATCTGGTGCAGGGACAGACGAAAGCCAAGCAAACAAAAAAGCGACAAGTGAATTAGACTGTGGCACATGTGAGAAGGGAACAAGCATGGACAGAGAGGTGACAGAGGGGACACTGTCACAAGAATGGGCAGACGCAGCCTCCACAAGGAGACTGACATCACTGGTGGGCATTTCCGAATGAAGCAGGGGTGGGGGCGAGAGCATCCCTTCCAGGCCAGGGCAGTGAGGAGGATGGAGCTGGTGTGCTCAGAGACTGGTGGGCAAAGGAAGAGAGCAGAAGACATGACTGCGGGTGGGCGCCGGGGGTGAGCTGTCTGCATGTAGCTCAAAGGTGCAGTGGGAAACCATAGAGGAGCTTTGAGCAGCGGAGAGAATGGATTCCATTAAATGATGCTGAAGGCACACGGATAGTGGCAAATGGCAAAGCTGAGGCTGCAGCTCAGGCCTCTGGAGCCAATGAGACAGACCAGAGGCTTGGGGTGGGGGGAGCGATTTTACAGACACCAGAGAAGTACGGGGTCGGGCCCAAGGCTCACCTCATGTTCTCAACATCCCCCCGTGTCTGTCCCAGGGCTGGTCCTCAGTGACGGCTGCGCCCTCCACACCCTGCAGTCCTTCACTGCAAGCACCACAGGAAAATGCTGGGGTCTCAGCTGCAGGTAAAGATGCTACTTAACACGACTTAGAGACAGGCATTTGAGCCGCTGGAATAACCAGAGGCTATTTAATAATAGATAACAGAGATCTTTATAGTAATCTCTCCCAGAGCTGGAGAAGGATTTCTCCCTTTGCCCTGAATTATTCTGAATGGGTGAATCCTATGGAAACAGAAAATACAGGAAAACTTGTCTTTCTTTTGTCATCTCTGGAAAGATCAAAGAGGAGAGAGGAAGACTGCCATCAGTCAGGTGCTCTAACTGGCTGACACTAGACTTAAAAAATGTCTTCACATTTGATAAGTAAAGTTGTTGTACACCTGAAACTAATATAACACTGCGTGTTAACTATGCTGGAATTAAAACAAAAACTTTTTAAAACTATTTTTAAAAAAATTTTTTAAAGATTTTATTTATTTGACAGAGAGAGAGAGAGAGAGCACAAGCAGGGGAGCGGCAGGCAGAGGGAGAGGGAGAAGCAGGCTCCCTGCTAAGCAAGGAGCCTGATGTGGGGCTCAATGCGGGACTTGATCCCAGGACCCTGCGATCATAACCTGAGCCGAAGGCAGACATTTAACCTACTGAGCCACCCAGGCATCCCTAATAATTCTTTTTTAAAATTGTTTAAGTTTTTATTTTTTAAAGATTATTTATTTATTTATTTGAGAGAGAGTGAGAGACAGTGAGAGGGAGAGAGAGCCCAAGAGGGTGTAGGGTCAGAGGAAGCAGCAGACTCCCCGCTGAGCAGAGCGCCTGATGTGGGACTCCATCCCAGCATTCCGGGATCATGACCTGAGCCGAAGGCAGTCGCTCAACCAACTGAGCCACCCAGGCATCCCTAATAATTCTTTTTTTTTTAATTAAGTTTTTTATTTTAGGGGCTCTGCCTGCCAGTCCCCCTGCTTGTGCACACACACTCTCTCTCTCTCTCACATTCTCTCTCTGTCAAATAAATAAATAAAATCTTTACAAAAATTAAAGAATTATTAAATCAGAAAACAAAAACAAAAATAGATTTCTTCCTTTTTTTTTTTTTGACACCAGATACTTCAAAAAAAAATTGTAAGGTAACATCTAGAATAGTTTGTGTGCATTTTCAAAAATAATTTTAGGAGGTATTGAAATATACCCCAAATAGGTAGATTATTATTAAAAGTCTCTCCTTTGGAGGTGTGTTTATCACTTGTGGAAATAAGTAACAATCCAGCAACTTCACAAGAATTTTCATCTTTAGGGCGCCTGGGCGGCTCAGTTGGTTAAGCGACTGCCTTCGGCTCAGGTCATGATCCTGGAGTCCCAGGATCGAGTCCCACATCAGGCTCCCTGCGCAGCAGGGAGTCTGCTTCTCCCTCTGACCCTCTTCCCTCTCATGCTCTCTATCTCTCATTCTCTCTCTCTCAAATAAATAAATAAAATCTTAAAAAAAAAAAGAATTTTCATCTTTAGCGGGTACCACTGGGAGAGGGGAGTGTATTTACAAAGATCAGGAAGAATTGGAAGGGACATAACTGTTCATTAAGCCTTTCTCTGCAAAGTCAGTTTAGTTAATAGAAGTCAAAAGGGTACGGGGATGGGTTAGCCTGGTGATGGGTATTAAAGAGGGCACATTCTGCATGGAGCACTGGGTGTTATGAACAAACAATGAATCATGGAACATTACATCAAAAACTAATGACGTAATATATGGTGATTAACATAACAATAAAAAATTTTTAAAAAAAGAAGTCAAAAGGAATCCCCAGGGGCACCTGGGTGGCTCAGTTGGTTAAGCCCCTGCCTTCGGCTCAGGTCAGGATCCCAGGGTTCCGGGATTCAGCCCCAAGTTGGGCTCCCTGCTTGTGCTCTTTCTCTCTCAAATAAATAAATAAAATCTTAAAAAAAAAAAAAAAAAAGGAATCCCAGGTTTGGTGACCTGGCTGCCCAGATTAAGCCTCACGGGGGCAGCACTTGTCCGGCGCAGCACTGGGTTCCCGGGGCAGAGACAGCGCCAGACGCACAGGAGGGAAGCAAACCTTTCCCGAATGAATGAGGGGTGCACGCAGGCGGTGGGCCAGGAGCAGGGTTTTTGGCCAAGCAAAGCCCGGGCAGAGGTTTAGGAATGAAGGAGACCAAAAGCTAGTGTTAGTCTTGTTTCAATGCGGGCGCCAAGCCCTTCTGCCTGGATGCTGTTTCTGGTGGTTTGGCCAAGCCGGCCTCTGCTTTTCTGACACTTTTCCAGAAAAGATATCACTTCTGAGTCAAAGGCCTGGAAATCAGTGCTAACAGCGGAACCCCGAGCCTTCCCGCCGCGCTCTCAGCCAGCTCCCCCAGGCCCTCACTGCGGACTCCGATCCTTACCCGGAGAGCGCACGTTCCAGCAGGTCCCCTCCACCGTAGCCGTACAGGCCCCGTGGCCCGCAGCGCAGCCGTCCCCCCTCCCAGGGCTCAGACGTGGCCACGTCCTCCACAAGGTCACAGCCCCCGGGGAGCCGGTCAGGCTTGGGGGCGGGGGCTGCGGGGAGGAATCCAGACCTGCGCGTGCGGGAGGCGCCGCCGCCCGAGGGGTGGAGGTCCCAGGCTCCGCCCAGAAGAGGAGGTTGCCGGGCCCCGCCCAGGGGAGGGGGTTTCCAGGCCCCGCCTCGGGGTCTGGTGACCAAGCCCGGTCGGGTAGGTGGGGTTTCGCAGCCGCTGCCGCTGAGCTCTGGGCGCCCGGCGCGCTGCACACCTCTGAGGGCGGTGGGCCTCGCGGGCCGGCTCCTAAGCCGTTCCGTCCGTCTTGACACATGTCAGCTCTGGGCTAGGTGTGGAGGATGCGGCGCAGACAAGGGAAACACCGCTGTCCACAGGGAGCTTGCGGTCCAGGGAGGCCCACACTAGACAATGAAAATAAAGGAACAAGATAAGCCCAGGTACCACGTACAGGGAGACAAGGACGCGGCAGAAGAGCCAGAGCGAGCGCAGGGTCTGGCCCCGACCGATCAACGGGCCTAGGCCGAGAGGCGGCCAATGCCGAGCCTCCGGCCACCGAGCAGGTGTCCCGGGTGCCCGGAACAGGTGGTGCCACGAGAGTGCCCGCGGGCTCTGAACCGCAGTTTCTCCCGAGGAAAGCGCCCTACGGGCTGCGGCCAGCCAAGGGCACGACCCAAAAAGACACCTCAGAGCAAAGGGAAAGGCTTGACTTTAGAGGTAGAGTAGGGCTCAAGGCCAGTGGGGAGGTCACATCCCCTCCCGGAAGTCCCTGCTTCCTCTTTGGGAAAGCTGGGACAAAAGCCACCAGGCAAGATTCTTGGGAAGATCTTAGGTGGTGTTGATGGCGCGCTTTCTTCCCCCGTCACGTGGTCATGTTGTTTTCTTACCCCGGGACAGCTCCAGCACACCTGCGTGTAAGCCGTCTGAGGTCGGGGCCTGCTCCTGTTCACCTCAGCACCTGCAACTGTGCCTGGCACATAGCAGGCCCTTGGCAGAGATCTGTCGCATGAATGAAATGCTAGCAAAGAGCCCAGCGCACAATAGGCCTTTTAAAATGGCAGCTCCGGTCTCCCCAGAAAGTACGGCTGACAGACCCCCTCCCCACAAGGAGAACAGGAACAGTCCTGATTAGGAGGGGAGCAGTTCTTACCTGGAGGGGTAGTTAGACTCTCATTCTCGGTCCCAGGCTGGAGTCTGGCTTAGCCACTTTGCCCTCATTTCTCTGGCCCCGCCCTCTCCCCCACCCCACTCCCAAACTGGGAGGTTAAGGGTTAACTCGAGGAAGCCCCCTCATTACCTGGATGGGACTAGAGCAGGGAACTTCCTGTTCAGTTTTCCCGGAGTCCTTTCCCAGTCTGGTCGAGGCTGACTCTGGCCCTGGGGCCCTCAAAGAACCCCTAGCACTTCCATCTCTGGAGTGGGGACCCCGAGTGGTGAGTTGCAGGGAAGCCTGGGGTGAAGGCTGCCAGGACAGACCTAAGGAGTTCCTAGCAGCTCAGAGGGAAAAGGGGGACCCGGGCCTCAGCGATGGGATGGGGGATTAGGAAGCTGGAAAGAAGTCTTGGGAGGATGTGGGTCGTCTATGCTGGGAGCCCAGTGCCAGCCAGCTCTGCGGACCTGTAGCTATGGGGTCATCAAGGAGGCTGGTGGGACTTCCTGTAGCATGGGCTTGCTGCACCCACTGGGGAGGGTAAGGCAGGCTCCATGTGTCCCCAGGTGGACCGGCCGGCCTCACCGACTCACCCCAGCACCGGGAAGGGAGTCTGGCCAACAGAAACAAGCCAGCCAATCTCCTGCCAGCCATGTCCAGGGAGAAAGGGAGGGTTCCTGGCTGAGGATCCTGGCTCTGGGCTCTCCTGCTGTCTGCGTGGGTCTTGTGGCAGCACCTCCACCCTGGGCAGGTCCAGCCATTGCCTCCCCACCTCTCTGGGCTCCAGATAGGGTGGCTGAAGAGCCTCCCACCCCCCACAGATGTGCATATGAACGGAGCTTTTGTCCTGAAGACTGAGGGGGGAGGGAGAGACTCTTAGGCCAACTTCCCTTAAATTCCATCTCTTTCAAACCTTTTGGCAAGACCTCACCTGGAGGTTCCGGGCACCCCTGTGTGTGTCTAGGCCCAAGGGCTAGACTTCAGAATCTCATTTTTTTCCCTCCGATTCGCGCTGGGATATTCTGGCTAAAACTAGGCAAATTGCACAGGGAGGGAGAGAAATTGGGTCCTTTTCTGTTTCTGAGCTTTTTTGCATAGTGGTCAAGATCAGTGTTCTTACCTTAAAAAAAATCTTGGCTCCACCTGGTGTGACCTTGAGCAAGTCACCCATCCTCCCGGAGCGTGGTCTTTACCCTTGTCAAGTGGAGAAATTATAATTTACCACGTGGGCTGGGGTGGGATTAAGCAACCCTGAGCAGAGAGCCCATACATACTAGCACTCAATACCTACCAGCTATTATTACAAGGTGACTGATTACCCGTGATTGGTTCTATTATTTTGCTCATGCTGCCAAAACAATGAAACAAAAGCCCATTTTCCTGAACACTTATCAGAGAGCTTTTCTGCACCAGACATTTTTGCATGCATTCCTCAGTAAGCACACCTTCCAGGTAGGCATTATCATTCTCATTTTGTTATTTCTACTAACAAACACTGAAGCCCCTTCAAGAGCTAGGGGAACCATTTTGAACAAGACAGGGTTCCTACTTGCCAAGGGGAGAGAGACACTCAACCATGGTTGTGGCACAGCACGACAGTGGACAGGGAGAGACAGGTTGCTGGTGAGTGGTGGAGTCCCTGCAGAGAGCCGCCAAGGGGTGGAAAGTGCCCCATGTGGGGTCAGATGCCAAATGCGGGAAAGAATGTTGGCTCCGCGGCTGGGCAGCTGGGCGGCTGGGCGGGAGACTGGGGAGAAGCAGGAAGGGGGAGGCTGGCTGGAGAGATGAGCGCCAGCCTGGTCAGGTGTCCAGGATGGAAGCCTGGTCTTCAGCATCCCCATCAATCCTCCTCCTCAGGTGGGAAGTGACCAGCCAGGTTTAAAACCCACTTTCCTCTGTTCTGCCACACCTCATTCCCCCCAACTGAACAGGAGCCTCAGGGAGCCCCCTAGCCCCGCAACAAGGGGGTCTCAATAAACTGCCCAAAGCTCTTGGCCAGGCTGACTTCTCCCTGGCGGCATTGCCAAGGCTGGGTTACCTCCTTGGCAAGTGTCTGTACCTCTGAGCCTTGTTGTCCTCAGCTGTAAAATGGGTAAGTGATGGGACCGACTGTTAGCTGTGGTCATTTGTGTTGTTGCTAAGTAAGAATGAGAACTGCGATTGCTAACACTCCCGCACGCCCACCACGTGCTGTCGTCCAGGTGCCCAGCACTGCTCTACTCCCTTTATGTGGTGCAGAGTGATGCAAGAGCCATTTTTCCCTTGCCCTTGCTTGGGATGTCCATGGGGTGTGGGTCAGGGGACAGACTGGGGAGAAGCTCATTTGTAGCTTTGAGGTCAGAGAGCAGGGAGGGCAGACAAATGTTGGAGCTTGGGTTTTTGTTTCCATAAAGTAATTTTGGCCCAAATTAAAATATAAATGTGCCTCAAAACTCTGGAGCAAAAGTGCTGGCCTAGTCAGGACAATGAAAGCCCTCTGAGTTGTGCTGAAGGACTGAACTGAGTCCTCTGGGTGAGGCTGAACTTGGGGCATCTCCCTGTTGGTAGATCTGGGCGGCCCCACAAGGAAAGAGTGAGTAGCCCCTTAACTCTCTGGCAGGAGAGGGGCTGGTACGCACTTGGGAAGTGAGCTTGGGAGGTCGTCTGTGTGTGAAACCATTGCCCCCTGGTGGCCAGTTAAAGCTTTTTATTGCTACTTGGGGGTGGATACTTTCCAGAGAGGTAGACCCAGGAAGAATCCAGAATTAAAAAAAAGAAAGAAATAGGAAAGAAAGAGAAACAAGGGCCTCTCCTGCCCATCACCCAGCTCCCAAGAGTGTACCCACTAGAGGCCTCTGAAGTGGGCAGAGCCACTTTGGTCGGCCTTGGGAACATATCTGTCACAAATTGCTGCCAGTTGTAAGCTTTAGTCTTGGTCTCTCATCTGGAGACCCACCCACCTCTCCCCACTCTCTGGCTCATCCTGGCCTCTGTCTCTGGTGGAACCCTGGGAAATGAGATTGGAACACCAGGTGGGTGCTCAGCCCTGCACTGACCACCTGGGTGGCCTTGGCCTTGACTACTGAGAACCACCTCCAGAGCCATAAAGTGAGAGTCAGAATGTCTGGTCAAGGAGAAATCACATGCATGAGCTCCCCCCACCCTTGCCGACACATGCACACCTATTATCTTCAAAATTGTCAATTTTTCAGAGACACTGAAAGAACAGCACAAAGGGGGCACCTGAGTGGCTCAGTTAGAGCTCCCTCTGCCCCTCCCCCCGCTCATGCTCTCTCTCTCTCAAACAAATAACATTTTTTAATTTTTAAAAAAGATTTTATTTATTTATTTATTTGAGAGGGAGAAAGAGAAGCAGGCTCCCCACTGAACAGGGAGCTGGGGGGGGGGCTCAATCCCAGCACCCTGGGATCATGACCTGAGCTGAAGGCAAATACTTAACCAGCTAAATCACTTAGGCACCCCTAAATAAAATATTTTTTTAAAGATTTTATTTATTTATTTGAGAGAGAGAGAGAGAGAGCACATGAGAGGGGGTAGGGTCAGAGGAAGAAGCAGACTCCCTGCTGAGCAGGGAGCCCAATGCGGGACTCCATCCCGGGACTCCAGGATCATGACCTGAGCCGAAGGCAGTCGCTTAACCAACTGAGCCACCCAGGGACCCTAAATAAAATATTTTTTAAAATAAAATAAAAACATCCGGCTCCAATCAAAGTTCATTCATTTGCTTGTGTGGCTGTTAGTTTCCTCTAGGGCAATGCTCCCCCTACAGGCGCTTGTTAAAATAACACCGAAGAAACTGGGCCAGTTGTTTGCCGGAATATTCTGAATTTGCAGTTTGTTCCACTGTTTCTTTGAGGGATCATTTCACTTGTTTGTTCTTAAGATTTATTTATTTATTTATTCTAAAGAGAGAAAGAGCACAAGTGGGAGAGGCAGAGGGAGAGGGAGAGAGAATCCCAAGCTGACTCTGGGACAAGTGCTGAGCCCCACCCAGTGTTCCATTCCACCACCTAAAGACCATGACCTGAGCTCAAACTGAGAGTCAGGCGCCCAACCGACTGCACCACGGAGGCTCCCGTTCTTTTTTTTTTTTTTATTGAATAAATTTTACATGTAACATTGTATACCTTAAAGGTGTACAGCATGTTACTTTGGTACATTCATATATTGTAACATGATTGCCAGTGGAGTGATATTTATCACATTACATAATTATAGTACGCTATTATTGAATGTGTTCATTATATTATGCATTAGATCTCTGTGGATTATTTACTCCTGGTTACAAATTTGTACCTTAAACACCATCACTCTTATCCACCACACCCCCACCCCCACCTGTTCTTATTCCTTGCAATGCAAAGTTGGGTCTAAAGTAGAGCTGGATTGGGGCGCCTGGGTGGCTCAGTCGGTTAAGTGTCTGCCTTCGGCTCAGGTCATGACAGGGTCCTGGGATCGAGCCCCACATCGGGCTCCCTGCTCAGTGGGGAGCCTGCTTCTCCCTCCGTCTCTGCCTGCCACTCTGCCTACTTCTGTTCTGTCTCTCTGTCAAATAAATAAATAAAATCTTTAAAAAAAAATAAAGCAGAGCTGGATTGCATTGCCATGAAATATTTATGGCAACGCGCATCTTTGGTGATGCCGCACACTCCCCACGGCACAGCATCAAGAGGCAGGGAAACAGCCGTCCTGTCTCAGGAATGCCAATTTTGATCCCTGGGGTGAAGTTCTAAATGCTGCAGGAAGGGACGAAAAGACAGAACTATCAGTTTTCTCTGCCTTTTAGTGTTTTGGTCAGGCTGGGGCCATGGGCTGTCCTGCTCTCTGAGACCTTACCCATGACCAGTGAGAGAAGTGCTTCCTCTGGAGGCCACATCTTAGGCATTTCTTAACACCACAGGTGTGGGAGCAGAGAGGGAGAGACCCAAGAGTGGGACCTGCTGCAGCGAGCCACCCCCCAAGCTGAAGGATGCTTGAAGAGCCCGTCCCGGCTGCCCAAGAGCCAGAGCAGCTTGGAGCAGTCAAACTGGAGGAAGAGGAGGCTCCTGGTCAGGAGGACATCAGGCATGCACAGGCCAGGCCCCGGCCTGAGGTGGCTCACCAGCTCTTCAGATGCTTCCAATATCAGGAGGACATGGGGCCGAGGGCGTCCCTGAGCCGGCTTCGGGAGCTCTGCAACCACTGGCTGAGGCCAGCTATGCACACCAAGAAGCAGATCCTGGAGCTGCTGGTGCTGGAGCAGTTCCTGAGCGTGCTGCCCCCCCACCTCCTGGCTCGGCTGCAGGGCCAGCAGCTCAGGGACGGCGAGGAGGTGGTGCTGCTGCTGGAGGGCATCCAGAGGGAGTCCAGCGCCGTGGGGCCCCTGGTAAGAGGGTGGTGGCCAGGTGGGCTGGACAGCAGGTAGGGAGACAGGGACTTCAGTGCCCCATGAAGAAATCACTCCATTTCCCTCCCTGCAATAATTTCCTTTTTAACCTCCTAACTCCGCCGACTCTCACCTTTCCTTGGTCGCGTTTCCCTGGTCGCGTTTCCCTTGGACTATCGCCCCGTCCTGTCCGTCGCCTAACATAGATGTATTTTGAACAGGATTTTAGTTTTA